AAGAGATACTCACCCCACTCTCGTAATCGTACAACGCTTCGAACCAATCTCCCTGCAAGACCTCTTCTTCTTCCTCCTCTTCCTCTTGTTGAGCAACAGGCTGTGCCGCCTGAGTTTCCCGTCGACTAGGCGGAGGAGCAAACGTATCCCTCGTCTTGGCCCTAGGGAACGTCGGCTGAGAAGGTGCAAAGTTCGCAGCGGGCTTTTCATTCTTTCCCACTCCCTTGAAACTAAACACACTACTCGCCGCTGCACCCGCCGAGGACGTGTCGATACTACCAATCCCCCTCGAGCTCACCAACCCGTTCGAGTTTGAGTCAGCTGGGGTGGAATTTGTCTTTGTTGTCGTTCCACGCGTAGGTGTACTACGAGCAGGCATAGGAGGAGGAGAATTCTGTGCTTTCTCGGCTGTAGAGCCTTGAGAGGTATAGGACGTGGCCGAGGTGCGACGAGGATTCGGGACGGGCGGTTTTCCCATCCCTCCTCCCAAAGCAGCCTGAGCCGCTGCGATACGACTAGACACGGAAACCGGTGCTTCATCAATATCTTCTCTTTCTGACGTTTCCTCCGCGGGGGGCTAGAACAGTTCACGTCAGTCTCCACATATCATCCAAAAAAAAAGTAGGAAAAAGGCGCTCACCTCGACGACACGTGGCGTCTGAGTACGCGATGGGATTGCAGGTGGACTAGCAAGTCCATTACCACTATTCGATGTAGGCGGAACGGGTCTTCCTTTCGAAAAAGACGTGACGGATGGAGCGGGCGACGTCGCTCCATTCGCACCACCACTCGTGTTCGATTGATTCGTGCCAAAGTTGCGCATGGGAGGGCGTGGAGCCGTATTCACTGCATGATGATTCGTGGTCGTCGCTGAATGCGTGTTTGTCGCATGGCCACTGGCATTCGACTTGGTGGACCCTACGCTCGTCTGTTGCTGGTGATGTGTACTCGATGAAGCACCCTGGAGACCCGCGAGCAACTCGGGTCGTGATTCAAAGTACCTATTTGCGAACAATAGAGTAAATTTTCAGATCGATAAACACTCGTGAACGATACGCACTCGTCTAGCAGTGCAAAGAACGCATCCTTGTCTTTTTGCGAGAGATTGGCAAAGACCATGGTCGGGAGGAGAGGGGGATAAAACTGGTAGAGGTCGAGGCCAAGGTTCCCGATATTTATGGCCAAGTCGGCTCCGAGGCGTTACACCTTCCATTTCCGTCAGACACACAATCTGCAAAAAATTCGGTAATTTG